ACGAGAAATGAAATGGGGAGCAGAAATGGGTGTATGGATGAGATAAATTTGCCTTTAATTCAATGTGTCAGATTTTCAGGCAATTCCAGCGTATATAAAGAAATTGATTTCTATAAAATAGCCCTATCCTCTATTTATATTGAAACCCTACTCTATAAAATTGTGGTGAACCAAACACGATTTTAAGTACACTCCAGCCACTAAGTAATTACGAAATTGCCACAATTGAGGGGTTTCTATAAATTTTTTTATATAAGTAGTGCGCCAAACAGCCTGTTTGTGTCAAAAGTTGCTTTTTCCATTGCTTTCAAACCTGTTACACCGTTTATCGATTACAAGTTCAAACTGAAAGAAAAATTGATCTTTTTATAAGATCTTCTTACAACGAAAAATAAAGATTACAACTTTATCAAACAAAACGCAGCAGTAGTTTATCTCCCGCTGTTTTGTGTGGGATCTTTGCCTGTGCCGGGGACGCGTTAGTCCGTGGACCACCGCAGATCAACCCGATAGACAATATAATTACGCTTTTGTTTCACGAAGGAAACAATTGCGGAAGCGACAATCACGACCAAGCGAGATTGTGGCTCTTCTCGAGATTAAAACCAAGTTTAATCCAGAGGAAAGAAGGAGAAAGAATCACAAACCTTTCGAAGGGCTTTCTTTATGAAAGTATTCGCTAAGCTCTGATGATTCTCCTCTGAAATTCGTGGTTAACTGGACAATTTGACAGCACATCGCCTTCTCAATTTCAGATCCTCTTTAAAGAAGACCCTAGGCTTCTATTTATAGGCTTTTGGAGATGTCCTTTTGAATAAGAATTTGTGTTTAAACGTCATCTGCAGTTTATAACTGTCTAAACGCGTTTAGGGATAATCTCAAAACAGTTGGAGAGGTTCTGGGACGAAGGAATCCTTAAAAATCATCGAAATCCGTGTTTGGGGAGGTTTTGTGTTCAGCAAGAGTCCTGGTGGCTCGGAACTATGCAAGTGACCATTTGGTGACTCGGAACTATGTGAGTCACCATTTGGTAGCTCGCATGGGTGCGAGTCACCATTTGGTGGCTCGCATGGGTACGAGCCACCATTTGGTGGCTCGCATGGG